CAGCACTGGCTGGCACTGAGTTGCACTGGATCACTTAAAAATACAGGTTGTACTGTGTAGTCCTGAGTATCACTGACTAGCACTGGGCGGCTGAATAGCACTGGGTAATACAAAGTGACACTGGGTAATACTGGGTATCACTGGGCGGTACTGAAACAGTGGATAGCACGGAGTAGCACTGGAGTAACACTGGCACTAGGGTCACAGCCCTCCAATCAGTAACCTAGGAGCACTTGTAACGTACACACATAGAAGGAATAAGTGTGATCTGGAACGAGAAGAGACACAAGGGATTAGGGAGAAATGCATGAGAGAAGGAATGGCAACACAAAATACATGGAGCAAAAAGCCATTCCCTCACAGTGTAGGGACGCAGTGTCTAGATTAGTCTTGCCAATTAGACAGTGGAGTGGAGTCCTGGTAAAATATTCCTAATAATACTAAAGCTAGTGTTAGATTATCTCTGCCTTTAGTAAAATTTTGTGCTACGCCTCGAGGAAATCTTCACAATTGCGCAGTTTCCTGAATTGTTAACAAACACTTGGGCTTGTTTAATGTTATTTAGAAAGGATGCACATGTATATTTTGAGTTCTTTTTTGAAGATCAAACTATCATATTTTTTCCAACTTAAATTTTGTTGTATTTTAAAACGTTGATATTTCTTTCCAAACTTTTTGTTGAAGGAGATTGCTTAAGGCAAGATTAATGAATCTGATTCTGTGATTGAGCTGGAGGCAAATCAAAGTCTGTCTAGTCAGCCGATGTCAACAGCTACAGCTAGTATGGCCTCCTCCAAACCATCATAGAACACAATTTTTGAAAAAAACGCGTTTTTCCATTTTTATTTGCCTGTCAAGATTAAGTACCATAATTAAACTACAACATGTATTTGTAGCAAAAATAATTTCAATTACCGAGCTCCAATCAGAATAGTAAAAGGATATGTTTCAAGTTATATAAATGCTGAGGTGGGCAGTAGCTTGCTACATGTAGCTGCCACTACATTTTCAGTAGCGGTAGCGGTAGCGGCGCTACATATTTAAGTAGCAATACAAGGTTTTGCTGCTACAGCGCTACCGCTACATTTATAGATAAAGCTTTTAGATTTTACTTAATGGTATTATTTAAAAACCAGCATGATACATACATAATATAAATTACAGAATAAAACTGTACAAAAGATTTCGGTGTAATGTTGTCAACCTCAGCCTGTTACTAGTGTCAACATGTTAGTTGTTACCAGAGGTGGGCAGGAGCGCGCTACATGTAGCGGCCGCTACATTTTCGGTAGCGGTAGCGGCGCTACATTCAAGCAATTGTAGCAGTAGCGCCTGCTACATTTAGAGCATGTAGCGGTAGCGGCTGCTACATTTCAAACTAGCGCTGCCCAGCTCTGTATAAATGTATGATGGTAAGCCAAAGTTTACACCACATCAATAATTGATTCGTCTCGTCGTGTCTTGTTAAAATGGCTATAAATTCCGGGAAATTTTAAGGTACCTATTTTAACCGGGATGTCTCGTCTCGGCATTGTCCCGGAATTCCTATGGAGGGCTGAATATTGTCCCGGTTTTTATTGCGAACCGGGACAGAGCCTGTAGTCTCATCTCGTCTCGGATAAAAGAAAATACCAAACGCAGGAGTCTATGTCCCATTAAAAGTGATTTCGCATGGAAAGGAAACGGGTCTGTGAGTAAAAAGCATCAACTTAGTCTTATCAGTGTGAGCCACAAACCTATTTTTCTTGAGCCACCCTAGTCTTATCAGTGTGAGCCACAAGCCTATTTTCCTTGAGCCACCCTGACAAATTCACTGTTAGCTCCGAAATATTATCACACACTTCATCGTAGGAGCTCCTCAAGACATAGAAAACGGCATGGTCAGCAAAGAGCTTGCTTGCAGTTCATGTTAAAAGAAGAGGCGATATCATTTATGAAAATGTTGAAGAAATGAGGCCCGAGAACAGAGCCTTGCGGTACTCCAATCATAATTGGTCTAATGGGTGATTTTAACTCGTTGAATGAAACGTATTGCTCTCTATTGGTTAGATATGATTGAATTAATGAATGAAAAGGCCCCCGATGCCATAACGGTAGAGTTTACTTAGGAGGATTTGATGGTTTATGCAATCAAAGGCTTTTTGCAAATCAAGGAAAAGAGCAACACAGTAGTTTTTTGCATGGAATGTCATAAGCAGGTCTTGGACAAGATAAAATATTGCCATAGTTGTGTAAGTGCTCTTACGGAAACCAAATTGATCATCAGATATCAGCAAAAATTTGTCAAGAAAATTTGTAAGTCGGCAGTGTAGAAATTTTTCGAAAATCTTATTAAGAAAAACTAGAGTAGATATGGGGCGATAGTTGCACACGTTATTAGAGTTGCTGGATTTGAAAACTGGTATGACATGGGCACGTTCTAGGACATCAGGGTAGATTCGAGTAGACATACACAAATTAAAAATATGGGCTAAAACAGGTGCTACAATATCAGCAACTTCAAATAATATCCTTGGCTGAATTTCGTCAATATGAAGCCTCTTGCCTTTACATAGTCGCAGCAAACTTTTTATTTCTGATGCAGAAGTAGGAGATAAGAAGCAGGATGCCTCATTAAAAGGGACCTCAAAAGTTGGACCATCTCTCACAGGACCTAAATTTGTCAAGTCATTGGCAACAGAGATAAAATAATCATTGAATTCAGTAACCGTATTGGTGCCAGACATAAGCTTGTTATTTTTGGACAATTCAGTCTTTTTGAGTGTAGTATTTTTTGCAAGTAAGGAGTTGACAATATTCCATAGAGCTCTAGAGATTGTTGAATGACTGTTAATATGTCACATTGTTCTACAAATTATGGTCTATAGAACCTAAATAAACTTTTGTTCATCGAAAGGACAAAAAGCTTATATCAGGCTTATGTGATAGTACAGTAAATTTTGAAATCTCCCATCATGGGACTTAATTGATATTTTCATACTCATAGGTGATCTTGAATTTGTGCACTGCATTATGAAATTTGTAAGATTATTAATTCTAAATAGGTACCTACTTTTCAATTTAATTCTGAAAGCTCACTGATCTTGAATTTGTGCACTGCATTATAAAAGTTGTAAAATGTTAAATTCTAAATGGGTACCGTCAAACGAGGTAATAGGGGATGAACGGGGTGATAAGGGACAGTCCTCCAACATTTCGTAGTAATGCTGTAGCAGCTAAACTAATTAAAATATTTCAAAACAAAAAATTTTAAATGGGTACCGGTACTGTCAAACTGGGTAATAGGGGACAAGCGGGGGGATAAGGGACTGTCCTCCAACATTTCCGTAGTAATGCTGTAGCAGCTGAACTAATTCAAATATTGCAAAACAAAAAATGGTGGCATAAAGTTCAAAATTTTTCCTATCTATTTAGCATAAAGCAAGTTAAGAAATCATACATTTACTACCTCTAAAAAGTCCGTGAAAAAAAAGTGAAAAGTGAAATTTCTGGATAAGTACCTTTGCTAAGGTCTGTAGTGAAAAAAAATATTTGCCACATTAAAAAATTTTACTTGCGTAAATGTTGCACACAGGAGTTGGCTTAAAAATATAATTGACAGAATTAGCGTATCTCATTCCAGAAAAAATGGCGGCCATTTCTGCACGACGGGGTAACAAGGGACACCCCCCTGGGGTAATAATAAGGGACACCCCTAAAAATGCATTTACAGTAGAGCCTTGGTTAGAAAAGGCTCCAGTTAAAAAAAAATCAATTGACAACAAAGAATTCTGATTAGATTTACCTTGCTCAGTGAAGAATTTCCACTTGACAAAAAGTTAGTGCATCATTGGTCATCACCAAACTGTGCATAGAATATACTGTAAAATGGGGTAACTTTGACCACTTTTTTTTCAAAATGTCATTTTTTACTAGATAGTTAAACTTAAATTGAAACGTGCAAAATACAGGTCTATACTCTAGCTTCAATCACCCTAAATTGCTGGCTCCTGCCTCTCATAGTTTTGATGTAATTTAAAAAAAAATATAACTCAGTACTCACAGCAGTGAGTGACAGAGCGCATTTTCTTGTCAACGAAAACTTGAGGTCATGGACGGACGGACAGACAGACAGACAGACGGACATGGCAAGCACAATAGTGCATTTTTTCCATAAATGAAAAAATGTGCTAAAAATTGATGGTCTTTGTTACCCCAGCTCTTGGGGTTTCTTTGACTGGGTGGTAAAATCAGTTTTATTTTTTGGTAAAATAACTCCAAATAACTCCAGGTTTTGGTGCATTGTAGTAGAAATCTTTTAGTTACTACATATGCAAATGACAAATTTTAGGAAAGTGTCATAGTTTGCAATTAGTGCAATTAGGGGGCGCCACCCCCCAATGGGCAAAATGTGACCACCTAATGGCAGCTGTGACGGGGTAACATTGACCGGCTTGGAAATTAAGTTAAAATTACCATATATAAGACTCTGTAGAGTCTGAAACATAAAGAAAAAAACATTAGTAGGTGTATCAAACATAAAATATGTTATATAGGTACCTATAGTAATTTTAACTTAATTTCCAAGCTGGTCAATGTTACCCCGTCATGGCTGAATTTTTTGAAAATTTTGGTGCACCTGGCACATCTTCTTGACTATGATATATTTCTGATTTACCGGTACTCATAGGACTCGTAATGGAATGGGAAAAACTCTGGTTTGCCACTATGATCAGCAGAGTCAATTAGGTGATTTTTAAGAAAAAATGATGATTTTTAATTCCCCAAAGCTCTGTTCATTATTTATGCATGATAAAGCAGATATCCATGTCATGGATTATGGATATTGGCCAAAAGCCTAATTTGCCAAAATGAGAAAATAATAGGAAAATTGGCAATGAGAAATTCTCTCTACAATAAAACGTGCATTAAAGACAACACAAGCTTCTACAAGCTTGGTTTTGTTTAAACAATACCGAATATTGTTATGGAGCCTGAAATTATAATGGATATATATTTTGCTTATTGAAGTAGGTATACCTTTTACTGTTTCAAAAAAATTATTTTTTCTCTGTATTCCAGGTAAAGATGTGTCAGCTCTCTTCCCTGATGTTGTCAACTGCATGCAGACAGACAACTTGGAGCTCAAGAAGCTGGTCTACCTCTACCTTATGAATTATGCTAAATCACAGCCTGATATGGCTATTATGGCAGTCAACACTTTTGTCAAGGTGGAGTCATTGTTGCAAAAGCTTTTTTATGTTTTTTTTTTTGTTTCTCTGAAGTTTTAGAAATCTTTGTGGTATTTTAATATTCTATTTTTGCATGCTATTACATGTAGAAGTCAAATCTCTGCCTGAAAGGTCAGAATAGTATACCGTATTGATATTTGCCACTGTCCCACATTGTTATCTTAATTATTTTTAAGTTAATGGTTAGTTTTCATTAAGTTTTTGTATAAAGGACTAGTGATATTGATTTAATTCTTGATAAAATTTATCTCCAAAGTCTGATGTACTGAGTTTAGTGTACGGTAATTTGTGACATTTTGATAGAACAGAATTAAAAACATTAACAATTTAAGCTCAATCATATGTTGGAATTTGAACATCTTTTCATTGTTTTATTTTGTCACTGCATTTTCAGTGTATTATTTTTTTCTATAGTAGCAAGCCAAAGTATTTCAAGTTAAAACTAACTACATTATGTTTACAGGACTGTGAGGACCCTAACCCACTGATCAGAGCGCTGGCAGTGCGCACCATGGGGTGCATCAGAGTGGACAAGATCACGGAGTATTTGTGTGAGCCGCTGCGCAAGTGTCTCAAGGATGAAGACCCGTACGTCAGGAAGACTGCTGCTATTTGTGTTGCTAAGCTGCATGACATCAACGCCTACATGGTGGAAGAACAGGGCTTTCTTGATCAACTAAAGGAGCTCCTTTCTGACTCTAACCCAATGGTCAGTTTCAAGGCATCATTAGATTTATGAAGCTTTCTTTCTTTTCGCATCTGAATTATTTTGCTATGCTCCTCAAATAGCTGTCATAACCTTGGTCTGTGAATTACCTCTGCCATTCTGAAGACGGATTCCTATGTTTGAGATGATTGCAATGTGAGGTTAGACTGTGAAATAGACCATGTATATCAATGTAGCATGTACATATTTGAATCTCACATGTATTTTTATCTAGCTTGCATTAAACTGCAGTACGTTTGTCACTCGCTATAGGATACATTTTACTCCAGTATATGCCCTACGGTCTAGCGAAAATTTTGCTCTAAGCATGCATTTCAATTCCATTCAATCATGTACCTATATCAATCTAGCATGCATTTCACTCAAGAATACGAAATTTGTTCTTCTCTCACACTTTTTACGTGAACCTTTCCATTTCTCAGCTTAGTAAAATCCTTTCATGAAAGTAAATGCATTTTGAAGGTTATTTAAAGAGTAAATGTAGTTGTTGAATATCTCTTTTCATGGTTCTCTTTGTATTGTTTATCGATTTCATGCATTTATCCTTCCAGCCAACCGTGCACTTTAACAGAGAGATGCACTTAATCTTTAAAATTGTGCCTAATCTTTATTTGAACATGACGATAGAAAAATCATAACGATCGAAAAATTAAACTAAATCAGACGAGAGACCTTCCAATGACGAAGATGATGAGATAGAGCTCTAAAATATGGAAACATATTTTCTAGAGATGATGGGGTTTTAACCCTTGCTACCCCTTAATAGCCAAAATTTAATTCAAGTACTACTAAGAAAGGGTACCTACCGGTATGCTTTTTCTGGTATTTCTATATTTTGTTATAACCCTCGAGCAATGAAGATGATAAGATTGATCTTTGAAACTTAGAACACACATTCTCTGGACGTTTTTATGATGGATTAGCCTGTTGTGACTGCTGAAAATCCTACATGTTTTTTGGAGGAAATTTTCGTTTGTATGTTTTTTTCTCGTATTTTTAACATTTTCAAATGAATCTCGAACTGTGAAGGAATTAATCTAAGGGTCTAAGAAATTTTCCAACTACTGGTTTTTTGCACTTCCTCAGCTTACTCGCACTATTGTGGAACAAAATTTAATAAATTTGAAAGTTCTCCAAGCATTGCCATTTTCTGGAACGATGAAATTTTGTGTACTGTTGAATAATTGAAGGGGCTGATGATCGTTTCAGGTGGTTGCTAATGCCGTGGCGTCTCTGAACGAGATCAATGAAGCAAGCAGCAGCGGAGTTCCTCTCATGGAACTGACCATGCCCATCATCAACAAACTCCTTACAGCTCTCAACGAATGCACTGAGTGGGGCCAGGTCTTCATCTTGGACGCTCTCTCGCAATACCAACCCAAAGACGAGAGGGAAGCACAGAGGTCTGGTCGCAGTTCCTGTAGTAATTTAGTTCACATAATCCATATTTAGTTTTCTCTTGATGTATTGATTGTCCGTTTGCTTGTGTAATTATATACATATTTTCCTTCGTTTGTTTGTGATGGTAGATATCCACTATCTGTCTAATTTGTACGTGGGTATTCACTGCTCACATTTTCTCAGTATGTAGGTAGGTTGATATTTTTTGCTATTCTGTGTCCGTGTTCAGATTCTGTTGTTTGTATCATTGAGAATTGTATTATACACCTGACAGCATTTGCGAGCGCATTATCCCGCGCCTGGCTCACGCCAATGCGGCCGTGGTGTTGTCTGCCGTGAAGTGCCTCATGAAGTTCATGGAGCTCATGCCAGCAGACTCGGAATTCGCCAAAAACTTGCACAAGAAACTCGCTCCGCCTCTGGTCACTTTGCTCTCGTCCGAGGCTGAGGTGCTGTGTCCTTCCCTTTATTTCTTTTCTTGTTTTGTTTAAATATTTATGTGTACTTTCAATGGTCAAATCTTCTCGTGTCATATTATTGCGAATTCATAGCCTTCTACATTGATTAATGGAACTTATTTTCCTTCACCTATTATTAGAATAGCCATGCTGGGCCTATACTTTCAAAAAAAGTTAAGAGATCGTAAGTTCATCAGCCAATCATTGACGGCCTTTCAAGCAAAATCCACCAATCATAGACAAGAAAATAGAGCGTAAGTACTTCCGTTCACTTAGCGAGATTTGAAAGTATGGCCCCAGGTATTGATTTTTATAAAAATGTGTTTTCCAATCGAGGCTTCCTTAATTACGATGATTGCTTTTAAATTCTATTGATCTAAAAACTATTTTATTTGTTGCAGGTGCAATACGTAGCTTTGCGAAACATCAACTTGATCGTTCAAAAGCGTCCAGATCTCCTCAAGCATGAGATGAAAGTATTCTTTGTCAAGTACAACGATCCCATTTATGTCAAGCTCGAGAAGTTGGATATCATGATCAGGCTGGCGTCGGAAGCCAACATTGTTCAAGTGCTGTCAGAACTTAAAGAGTGAGTGTTTATATCGCGGAAAGTTAGTTGATGAATTGAATTGTTTTCATTCATGAATTTCGCTGCATTTTATGCATATTTTTGACGTCACTAGTAACCTGGAATGTCGGTAAACTTTTTCAATGTTTTACCATTATTACGTCTTGATTATTTACAGTAAACCTTACTTGTGCATTTCAGGTATGCGGCTGAAGTTGATGTAGACTTCGTGCGGAAGGCGGTGCGGGCGATTGGCCGTTGTGCCATCAAAGTGGAGACTTCAGCTGAGCGATGCGTGTCTACTTTGTTGGACCTCATCCAGACAAAAGTGAACTACGTTGTTCAGGAAGCCATTGTTGTCATTAAAGACATCTTCCGCAAGTACCCAAATAAGTATGAGAGCATCATCTCCACTCTTTGTGAGAATCTCGACACCCTTGATGAGCCTGAAGCTCGGGCCTCCATGATTTGGATTATTGGCGAATACGCTGAGCGTATTGATAACGCCGACGAACTCCTTGAGAGTTTCTTGGAAGGCTTCCATGACGAGAACACTCAAGTGCAGTTACAGCTTCTCACGGCCATTGTGAAGCTCTTCCTCAAGCGCCCAACTGACACACAGGCTTTAGTGCAGCAGGTGCTCTCGCTTGCCACGCAGGACTCTGACAATCCTGACTTGCGGGATCGAGGATTCATTTACTGGCGACTTCTGTCCACTGACCCGGGTGCCGCCAAAGAAGTTGTGCTTGCTGAGAAGCCTCTCATTGCTGAGGAGACTGACCTCATTGAACCTACGTTGCTGGATGAACTCATCTGCCACATCGCCTCGCTTGCCTCCGTCTATCATAAGCCTCCTAGTGCCTTTGTTGAGGGTCGAGCTGGCTTGCGTAGAGCTCTTCCAAAAGGTGACTATATCTCATTTATTTGAATTGCTAGGAGGTTTACGGTATCTTCACTTTTCATTTTCCTTTCCCTTCAGTGTTGAGGTGTTATGTCTGAATTATACAACTAGTTCGTTTGAAATAATTTTCATTGAATTCCTGTTTATTTTATTAGAATTATATAGATTACTTGTGCTTCAATGTGACCATAAATTATCCTTGTTCGACAAGTAGCTGGGGCAGGTGGAGAAGATGGTGAGGGCAGCGTGCCTCAGTCTACGGTGATACCCTCTCAAGACTCGCTCATCCCTGATCTTCTCAACATGGACATCACGGCCGCACCAGTCATGTCTCAAGTTCCTCCTCTTGCCAGCGGGTATGTCCGCATTCCTTGCTTCTCGTTGGCTGAATGAGCCTGACTTGTTAATGAGAGTTGTAATATCTATCTCTCACTGCTTTCTCAACTTGATCTAGTTGGCTGAATGAGCCCGAGTTATTGCTCGGAATTGTAAGGATTTGCACCCAGTCCTCTATTGAATTAAAAGCTGGCGTCAATATCATATTTTCCGTCCTTATTGGCGCCATAATGTAGTCAAAAATTTCTGTGCAGGTATGCCAGTAACGAGCTTGACCTGCTGGGCGGGGGACTGGACTCGCTGCTGGGAGGGGGACTTGGGGATCTTGGAGCATCAGCGTCTCCAGCTCCTGCTGCTACTACTGCCGGTCAACATCTTATTGCTGATTTCCATGTTTATTGCAGTCTTCAAATGATGATATAGCCTACTTTTTTCTGACGAATGATTTTTTGTGTTCATGTTACTTGTTTTAGGAATTACCAACAACAACCAGCTGCGATGAAATTTTTGTTTCTCCGTGCAAAGTCAAGTCTGTCAGTAATTATTGAACTATAAAGCTTTCCCTTCCTTCGTGATATAGATTGGTTAACTTGCTGGAAAATTACTGTGGCAGTCTTCTTTTAAAGCATAAATATTCCTTTCTATCCAAATTAATTCATTACTTTTCTTATCAAAAGTAATATCACGAAAATTTCTCAACTGAAATAAGATCATAATTTGTGGTTGTGGCGGATATTTTCGAGTGAGAAATGTTCATGTCTTCTTAAACATGAGATTTTATTTTCTTTTATGTTCTCAGGGCTGCTGGGCGACATATTCGGTGTTGGTTCGACTACCAGCAGCGGTTATGTCGCGGATAAGACTGTGTGGTTGCCTGCTAACCGTGGCAAAGGACTGGAAATTCTCGGGACATTTTCGCGCAGGTCCGTCGCGTACAATTATTTTTTTGTTTGTTTCTGTCAGTGCTATCGCGAAACACTACAATTTTGTTGCCTAGTGGACATCAAAAGGCGTACAGATTGTACTCCTAACAATATTGTGACAGAATGCAATAGCATGAAAACAACTGATGGGGTAATTTACATGTTTAAAAATTATGAATATAGAGCTTAGTGCGGGAAAGAAACTGTCACGACCAGTATTAATAATTGGTTTGGAGTTTGATTGCAATGATCAAATGGCCCCATCAGCAGTTAATAATAGCAATCAAAGTTGATGCGTTTAGGATGAGAAAAACGAGCTGCTGTAATTAACAATTTGAGCCACATTTTAATGAAGCCGCGGCAGTGATCCTTTCCTAGAATGTGACCAGACTGAGAAATGAGGTTGGCCGAGACACCGCTCACGCATTTGCTTGATGGATCTTTTCGCTGCTTTTTATTAATTATTTATTCATGCTTGAAATAAAGGGATTTTCTTCTCAATGTGTCCTTAGTTTTAAAAGATGAAGAAATAAACTTTTCGATCGAAATTGTAGTACGCTTCTCAAGCAGAAATTCTGTAGATCTCTAGTCTTGTATTTACCATTAGGTTTTATCCAGTGCACTGCCCCAGGAAATTTAATGCGTTTTTGTCGCACGTCGTATTCGTCATTTTTAAAATTCTCAGGATCTCGTGTTATTCAACTATAATATGACTTGTACGAAACTCTAGTCATTAGCTTGTGTTGTGTTTCAGGGGTGGCATTGTGTACATGGATATGACGCTGCAGAACAAAGCGATGCAAGCTCTATCTAATTTCGCGATACAGCTCAACAAGAACAGCTTTGGTGTTGCCCCCGCCAACATGACGATCAATGTGACGTCCATAGCCCCGGGCATGTCATCTGATGTGTCCGTTCAGCTCAACACCAACGGCCCCATGCAGAAGATGGATCCTCTGACCAACTTGCAGGTGACACTTCATCTCAGTGCTGCCAAGACTTTCTCTAGCCTCCTTGTGCTGCCTCAGTGAATGAGGTTCCCGCCTCCATGAAACCTTAACTTTGAGGAGAAAAAGGCAGGGGATATTCGAGGTTGCCTTTTAAGGAAGTTGCTGCCACGGTTACACTATTACGGCACGATGTTATTCATCTTGAAAAGTTGTATCGCTCAATTTTTTTATGCATTAATATGACACTGGAAACGCAAGCTGTCTCGAAGAATGCTTAATAAAGGCTGGATTGTCATACCAGGCATTAACCAACGATATGAACTTTTAAAACAAATTGATAGTTAAACAATTTCCTATAATATTTTACCGATGAAGATTAACCCTATTCTGACGTACCGTATGTCACTCTCCGGGAACATAAACTTGAATTGAATATATTATTATATAGTTAACTATTGAGTATAGCAACAAGATGACGTTTGTATGCAACAGAGAACATTTTAAATGTTCGTACGTGGCGGCAACCCCATTCCAAGTCATTTTGCGCTCACTAGCGACGTACCTTTTTTGGGTAGCTTATGTGACAATATTGCTCCGGTTACTCATGTCAGGCGGTAGAGGGTTAATTCATTAATTTTCACTAGAATAATAACTAATTAATTAAATAAATTCATGGTTTCATTCTCAGGTTGCCATCAAGAACAACGTGGATGTGTTCTACTTTGCTGTGGTGATGGGAATACACGTTTTCTTCTGTGAGGACGGTGCCATGGACAAGAGGATCTTTCTGTCCACGTGGAAAGATATCCCATCACAAAATGAAGTTCAATTCAATATTGAGAATATAAACATGAATGCTGGTGAGTTATCTCCATAAACCCAAATATCAGAGTCGAATTTCATCTATGTGCAACTCTGATTATTTTTGATACTTTTATTAAAATTTTGAAAAGCTTTTTTTGTAATTTTATGTGCCTGTAAGCATACAGGTTTTAATATATTCCACTTTTCAGATGGTATTTCGAATAAGCTGCAGGCTAGCAACGTATTCACCATAGCGAAGCGCAATGTCGAGGGACAGGATATGCTTTACCAATCCATCAAGCTGACCAACGGCATCTGGGTGCTCACTGAGCTTAAGATACAGCCTGGCAATACCACTGTTGTGGTGAGTCCTTTTTATCTAATTTCATTTAGTGATAAAACTGTATTCACCTACTAAACACCATTCGAATTATACTTTTTGGAAGCATCCATTTATGTTATTTTTTGGAAAAATTGAAGCGATGCGTAACTTAATTTCCACTCTTTCCATATTTGATGATTCTTTGCACTTTAAATTTCCTTTATGATGTATGATAATCCAAAGTCTTGATTTCGGCCTCACTAGATTACGCATTTGTTGAAAAAGTTAACCCCTTGAGTTATGCCTTGCTCTATTTTTCAGTTATCGCTCAAGTCTCGCGCCACTGACGTTGCTCAAAGCGTCTTCGAAGCTTTCGACGCTATCCTGCACAAGCCATGAAAATCCACATCGGCGTCATCTCTCCCGTGTTGAATTTGTCTATAGAAATACGGCCGCTTCGTTCTGTGTAACTTATTTTGAAATAGTGTACTGATGTAATTTCAATGTTAATTCTTTCTAGGTATATCATGGCGCTACGGTCTGCCCCTTTGCTGTTGTCTCGTTCTTGAAAGTAGCCTCACTTGAGAGAAGACGCATTGCAAATTCTTTCAGTGTGCTCTCCTATAGTTGCCAAAGGGTTAAGAGTTGGAGTTTTATCTCTTATGCGTGAATTTCTTCATCGTTCGCTTCGTGTTCACATTAGATTCTCTTGCTAGTGTTATCCCATTTATTCGAGAGAAAAGTATTGTGTAGCTAGTGTGGAGAAAGAAACTCTCGATTCGCCGTCTTAATTTGTAGTTACCTAGCAAGCTCATTTTTCCTTCACAGATGTCTCACTTCTGATATGTGCAATGACAAAATATATCTATTTTATGCTCTTTTGGTGATGAAATACCTTAAGCACGGTTCATCAACCCGATTTCCTTTGGTCAGTGTGTTCTTTCGTTTCTCTGACATTTACTCCCATATATACTTGATGCAGATTCAGTATTTCTGCTTATTTTTTAAAACGTTTTTTCCATTTATGATACGTGGAAATTGTTACATTCCTTAAACTTAATTTCTTTTGTTAGAAAACGATTATGGAAATTCATAGTAAACTTGTTTGCTATTTGCTCTGAGTTAAATTTAAATGTCCACTTTGAGTAGGTTTTTTTTTTCAAGAAATTTCCAATTAATGTTTGCGCGATATTCTTTATTGTATTCAGTAGGTAGAAACGGCACAACTTGTGTCCGAACTCTACATTGAATAGCCAGCATTCATGTTTTTAGGGGCGAATATTTATGCATTGAAACTCGAGTATTACCATCAACTATTGTTGCGATGCTTGAAAAAAATGGGTTGACATATGAAATCATCATTAAACTTATCTTGTACAAATCCCTGATTTCAATGCCTCGGAATCACATTCCTTAATCGTTGTTCCCCAACTACAGCGTGGATCGAAGAAACTGCTCCCCTGGTACACTAGAACTGAACCCTTGCCCCAGGATCCCAAGGGTGATCTCTCTTGTCAACTTGAGACGACAGCCGTAAGCGATATGCAACTCATTGTAAGGGTAATGCTACCTCGTTAGTACGTGCGCCATGTGATCAAGCAAGTCAATCTTGTAATTGTAAGCATAGCCAATGTAGGCGCGAAGGCCGTATGCCCATCATCAGCGTGTTTTGCGATAAACCGATAGCGTGTTATAATATAATAGCGATTTCAGCGTTTAGTAGGCCGTAGGCCTGTTGCCGATTCTTAATTTCGCAGAAAATTCACAGCATTTTGCGGTCTCGAACTCGCAACTCACTGCTACAATTCTGCTTTTCTTAACCGCCTGGCCTCCTTGCCGATTCTGACCAGAAACTGGCGCACAGAGCTGGGATCGAACTCGCGTCTCTCTGCTCCAATCTTGGTACTCTGTTAGAACTGTAACCGCAGGCCCGCCCTGCTTTTGATTGCCAAACCGAGCGACGAGAAATGATGAACGGAAACTGATAACGACCACCACCCTAGTGAACAAGACTACAAGTCTGAAATTCTTCAGAACGACGGCGATGCGTACTTGAGAATTAAACTTCCAGCGCGAAGTAGAACAAAATTTTCTGAAGCGCCTGTAAACCTACTACAACTTAATCATCGGTTCTGCCTCAGTGCGGTTTCATTTTTCTTGGTGATGTGATTACTCCGATGACTGGAGGAAAGTCAGCTAGAGATTTTTGAAAGTTATTTGCGTAAGCTCAAAGCTCTTTGTACTTATCGCTGTTCCATTGTTGTAGATTTAGGCTATTACGTGCTCAGCCATTTGTACCAGCAGCTTGATTTAATTGCGTGTAACGAAATACTTCGTCTCCTAGATAACAATAATTGTGCAGCACTCAAGCGCGCTATCCATTTGAAGGTTTCTTCTACTTGGTGTTTAATTATGGTTAAAGCTGACGTCTCGTAGGCTCTAATGATTATGTCTACAAAGTTGCATCGAGCTACGTTCATTACTTTGGGAGATATTCTATGCTCACTGAATTTGGAGTCCGGCCGTAAATTTGTCCGATACGTTTATTAAAGCTGATCAAATTTTACAATGAAGACTTTGCCAGCCAATATATCACTTATTAATGTTGCATTGTAGTACTTTTTTTAATTATTTGTATAAAAATCGGAACAAACTTCCTAATAATATTATTCAAAGTCGAACAGTGATAGTTGCATATTTTTATACAATATAATCATCCGTTGGTGTAAATAAATTCATTTGGAATGCCTTTTTAGACGTGTATATAAGTTTTCATCATTCTTTTAAAAAATCTCGGAAACGGGAATGTTTGTAAGGCGATGAATTTACCTAAGTATCATATTTTTTTTACACGTATCATGGTGCAATAACCATACTATCGAAGAGGAAATGCTAAAATACTCTTTGTTGGGACTTGCGACTGAAAAAACACTGACGTAATCGGAGGCAACTAAAAGAAAGAGTTCCGCATTTGTTAAGAGCTCGGCAAACAGAGTCACAATGAGCCACTGCGGGTCTGCGGCTACGTAATAGAAATCGTTTCTTCTACTAGTGACTAGTGTTACTTTTAATTTTCTAAAGGTCTTCGTTGGAGGAGTACAGTTAACTTCTTGAAAAAATAGGCAACAAGTATAGCTTGTATTATCTACGCAAGTCGCAAGGTGACCGAAAATTTTGTACAGCCGTCATCATTGTCGTGTCACGATTGTGCTACTATCACTATCAGTGGTACCAAGGCGTATAGAATAACTATGGATTATGGAGATATTTTACATTTTCCACACTTCAGTGACCACTGACTGTTGACCTGTTGTAACTTATACTGACTGACTTGGAATTGGGGTGCGTGGTGAGTGCCTGGAGTGGTGACCTATGGTCAGTTGGTCTGTCTGTCACAGGCTGGAATTCTAAGAATGAAAGTTCACTTATTAAAAAGCTTTCTACCCAAGCTGAAAAGCTTTCCCATTCCCACAGTGCTCTTCCAAGTTCCAGGTGAATGACTAGGTAAAGTGACTATAAATGAAAAGGTGGATCAAAAGTGGACTGTGGACAAAATAATTCAATTTTATACTACTAATAATACTAGTAGGTACATTGAATTTGTAAAAGGATTATTTAGATGTCACTTGTTTGATAGATATTTTTTATTTGTCTTTTATTTATTGGATTTTTTAAATTTTCCAGGCCTTTTATTTGTAATGATCAAGTTTCAGTCAAGTATTTAGTTAACTAGTACTGTAGTTAGTGTAGTTGTAGTACATATACCATACATGGGGGCGGGGCTTATGGGCACAACCAATCACAGCTTGAAAGCATTTCCATCAACCAATCACATCTAGAAAGCAGATAACATTACAATTCCATTATCCAACTACAGCTGGAAAGCTGAAAGGGGCTAAAATCACAATCCTATTCACCAATCACAGCTGGAATTCTGGAAAGAGATAGGATATGTAAATAATGGACTGAAAGTGTAAAGTTCCTGGCCTTTCCAAGCTTTCAGGTCCTGATTTCCAATATAGGATAAACGCCGTATATTCCGACATCATGGGTAATTCCGTCACCTCTAGACTATAGTTTTTCCTTTATATTAAGCTTTGTTTTAGTTCCATGCATTTGTTGATGGTTGAAATGGTGATGTCATACATTTGCACGTCAAACTACTGCTAAAACACTAGGTCTTGACCATCAGACTCCATCTAGCGGGAAAATATTGAGATCCAAAGAGAGACAATGCACGCTACCCAGTGAGATCATCGAAAAATGTGTCAAATTTGACAGTTGACCTTGCTCTATCAAATAGTGAATAACTGTTTGTATAGGAAGAACATTATGGTTTGTGACTTTTAAATACGTCTGTGAACATGGTGGCAGGGAATTATTGTGAGTACTTATCGGTCCACCGCCGTGCGGCGGTCTTAACCCTTTGCAAGGCCCCATGCCCTAGGCCATTGGGCCCCTCTTGCAAGTTGCAAACTTGCAATCATGGTGGCAGGGAATTAGTGTGAGTACTTATTGGTCCACCGCCATGCGGTGCAGCGGTGGTCTTAACCCTTCGCAAGGCCCCATGCCCTTGGCCCTTGGGCCCCTCTTGCAAGTTGCAAACTTTGCAATGGTCTAAACTCAACGGTTCGACCCCATGGTCTCATCACAACTCCCTTTAGAAATATGTGGAGTTTCGAAATTGATATAAATAAATCAATAAATATTTGAACTGGGAAATTCCTTAGTTACTTACGTTGGTTCCAGAATGATATCAATGATGTAGAAAATGACAATGACATCGGTTAAGTCTCAGCCATGATTCTAGCTCTGCTCAGTCCTTACACTTTTACCTCATTCTTCATGATGTTAGAACGTCGATGTTCAAATGTTGACACTACTGTCAAGTGTCAATATCACAATCAAAATTATTTCACAATCAGAAATATGTTATAATATCACAATCGAAAATATTATTCACAAATAACCATCAATTTCAATGCAAAACTTCACTGCTATGGCTTTGTTTACATATGGGATATGGCTAGCGGTGACGTCACACACAAGAACACGTGGTAGGCTGGTAGCTACATAGACTGTGAAAAAAAATGCAATATTTTGCTGCACCACAAACAAATAAATGTAAATAATTAGTAATGTAAAATGTGTTGATGGAACACTTTAAGAGACCGGACGTAAACAGAATACGATATTATATTATTAGTGAAGATACTAACAATAAAGTAGTTCATTTGATGGCTGCTGCTAGCGCTGGCATCTGAATACGGGCATGCCACCTTTGTTTAGAATTCGAACAATTCAATATCTCACTGCAACACAAGTTAATACATTTAAAAAATTAGTAATGGAAAATATGTTGCTAGAACACTTTAAGAGACTGGACCTAAACAGAATATGATATTATTATATTATTAGTGAAGATACTGACAATAAAGTAGTTCATTTCTTTGCCGCTGCTAGCACTGGCATCTGTAATATGTGAAGCTTCTATTGGTAATTTTTCTTCTATGGGTACAACTTCTATGATCAATTTGAATCATAAACATTTACCTAATGCAAGAAATTAGCAATCAATAATTCAAGGTTATTTTGTAAGTTTTGTAACAAGGGAAGACTACATTAAATACGTATTGGCAACTTATGCTAAAAAAATGCACTGAAACTGCAAACAGCTGTGACAGAAGGTGCCAGAAAGCGCCATCGATTCATTTGTCATTTTTTAATTCAAATCGCATTCAGTTCTTTGGAATAGAAGCGTAAATTTTAGTCTAAAACCTATTAAAAGTTTCTTTCTTCGTGGATTTTGATGCTGTTAACATTTAAATACTTGAAAGTATCTCTGATGCAAGAAATACTGGCTAAGTACATTTTACTTTAGAAATTAACATCAATCGAAATTACTGTTGTTCCGGGCTATGTTGGTTCTTGCGAACTGATTTTTGCATCCAGTCGCCTATATTGAAAATAAAATTGTTTAAGCAAGTATTTCTTGCATTAGAGATACTTCCAAATTTGTTAATGTTAACAGCATTATAATCGATGCAGAAACGTACATTTTTTATATAGATATTAAAAATTTAGGCTCTTTGACTTGTATACTATGGGACTATGGGTATAGGATTTCAAATGGATGCATGTGTTCAAATTCAAATACGGCCCGCCCACGGCCAGTGTCAGCTGACACAGCGAACCGCCCCTTTCTTCAGAAGCAAGAAAGCTTTTGCCGGATAAGGTTGTGTTGTTACATGATCCGATCGGTCCGTAAAGAAGTGTCAATCGGTTCAAAATGACATAAGACCAGGTTCTTTTGAATAACCTATAGAATTGCACCATGTCTGAATATATTAGGAATCCTTTAAGTATACTTGTATTTGCTGATTTCAAGTGGTAAATAAATTAATAGATGATTAAGTTGAGAAATGGATTTAGACACATGAAAACTAATTCTGTCACAACTTGAATTGGACACACACAGATCGTTCCAAGCTGTGTACAAAAATTAAAATTTGCTTAATTAAAAGCTTAATAGTTGTTAATTAAAAGCGTAATTATGTAGTGTTCAATATTCATTAGTGTTCTAATTCCAAGCCATGTTGTATTCCAATACAGCTCACACAGCAAACGGAATTCGAACACGTGGATGACAGCATTATGTATCAGTAGAATTTGAAGTGCGGATGGAATACGCCTCACCACGTGCCGAATATTGCCACACACAGTGACGGAATATAGGGATTTGGTAGGTTTCCATTCTAAAGGCTTTTAAATAAATATGGCAACATTTTGTGACATTTCGTTGTTGCTGACACGTAGTGCGGTGTTTTGAGAGTCGCATAAAGCAAACAGAACTTGAGTAACGCATACGGTTATTTTTTATAGTTTTTCATTTCTCGATGCCTCCTTAATGTGACAGAATATACTGTGTTTACTCTACTATGTGTACTAGTTGATTTATTATCCCTCTAGAATTCCACACTGGTTGGTCACGACCTCTAAATCAGTCATACACGCTGCCTAAAAACTTTTACTGGCATCAAAAAAATTAAAATATCACACTATCATGTTAACAAAAAAGTTCGAAAAATACCATACCTATTCACAGCTGTCCTAAACTCCTAACTCCCAAGAAAAAATATAAAAACTTGACAATTTCATTATGCAACATCCCAAAAAAGTAAAACAAAGTGCTAAAACAATTCGGCACAGCCGCACGGTCATCTATGTCTTCCCACCCTCCCCTCTCACAACCCTCCATTCCTCAAGACTCCACAGTCTCCACTCTTATGCTTGAAAAGTAAAAAAGTATCATCAACATATCGGCTATAAAAAACAGGTTTAAAATCAAGAGGACAATTGGCCAGCCTGTTAGTCTTGTGAAAACACATAAAAATATTAGCAAAAGTAGGACCTAGTGGTGGACCCATGCCCAAGCCATCAATTTGTCTGTAAAATTTGCCGGCAAATACAAAACACAAGTTTAAACAGATAATTCAAGAAGAGATTTAAAAAATTTGCTGTTCAAACCCATGAAAATGTCATTAATCTCTTTGAACAATGAATTGAGGCAAATATCAATAGTTTTATGGAGAGGTACCGTAAAACGGGGTAACTTAGACCGGCGGGGTAACTTAGACCACTTTTCGTTTTTTCAACAAAAACCCCCACAACTCAAAAACTATTTGACATAGAAAAATTTTGTCAATGGGCATTAAAGGCCTAATACTGAGGCTACATACCGGTAACACAATAGAAAGATTTGAAAAGTTTGCATATCTAATAGATTAAAAAATTAAAAATGTGACCCATGAAAAAAAGCTATTATTTAAAGCCTGTCAGAGTACCCCCTGTCTCTTATACACATCTAGATGTGTATAAGAGACAGGTATAGGCCCCAGAACGCTTCCTTGTGGCACGCCACTGCGCACTGATGCCCAGTCTGACACGGTTCCGTTAATACTGACACGTTGTCGTCTACCTACTAGAAAATCTCTGATCCATTGGAGTACGTTTCCCTCAATCCCCAAGGACTTCACTTTACGCAACAGCAACTCATGCAGAACACTGTCAAATGCTTTGGCAAAATCGAGGTACAATGCATCCACTGGCTCCCTTTTGTCCAACAGGCAAGTCCAATCATTCAACGTAGATAATAAGGCAGGATCTGCCGGCAATAAAACCATGTTGACAATCTGATATGAGATGGTGAGCAGTCAAGTGATCGATAATCCTATCCCTCACAACAGATTCAATCAGCTTACAAACAACACTTGTCAGACTGATTATGGTTAAGTTGCCGGGGCTGCTTTTGTCACCTTTTTTGAACAATGGTGTTACTTGAGCTTGAGAAGTTAACAAAAAATGATCAAAGCCATCCCTTATTACCCCATTTGACGGTAGAGCTCTAGCTGCAGCTGGGATGGTTCCATTTTTTCTTGAGGAAAAAATTTTAAGCCATTCAATATTAACTTTTCTTTACATATTTATATACCTCTTTACATGTATTTTTTCCACTTTTTGGCAATAAATCTTGAAGTTTTTATAGTTCTGGTGATAAATCCCCAATAATACTAGTAGCTGGGTATTAGTGATAATTTAGAACCTGAAAAGACATCATTAATCATACAACTGCCAATCTCTACATACGTACTTTTGCCAAGTGATGGTTCAGAAATTAGATTATTTCCATTTCTGAACATCATGATGTCCATCCAGGACTGTGCATTGTCAATGCAACTTGAATCACCACTGCTCTTATGTTGTCATTTGCTTGTCTTCATTAGAAATGATTTTTTTTATAAACAAAACTGAAGCACAATTTTCTTGAATTATTAAATCAGCTGCATATTAGCAGATAAAGTTTAAGTGTAGAAACTGTTAATCAAACCCTACAAATTTTAGTGTGGGCTATTTATTTGATATGGTTGTGACAACTAAAAATACATATACAAATTAATCAATAAATAATTACCTACTGCAGTAGGTATTTGCTGCAGATACAGGTGTGCTTATTACACGTGTTTATGTCACTAGAGTGTTGTATACTTATTTTGTTGTATAACAGGTATTTAATTCACAATCAATATATTTTTTTGTCATAGATATTTGCTATCAAAAGTAATTTATTCTAAGCATGCAGTGAAACTCCTTCTGACTAAATGTTTTTTTGAAGAGCCAAGTATCAATGAAGGTGTAGATAACCCGTGTGCAATCCTCGGCTGTCTCCTGTTACCGTACTTAGGGTATTTCTGGGGTGGGTGGGAGCAAGTGAAATAGATGGATGGCCATTGCTTTGCCAGAGACAACGAGTTATGCCAAATTCTGGCAATTCATTGGCTACCTGAAAACCACTTGTTTCCTTTCAACACCTCAGAGACAAAAATGTGTGTGTTTGTTTGTTTATCAAGATTTTTGAGATCGACTACCCAGGCTGTAGTGCGCTGGGTTTTACAGCATTACCCTACTTATGGGATCTTGTAGAGTTTATGCACTGTCTTTATTCTGGATTAAATTATAAGTTTATTGCCACTATATTATTGTAATCTTTTTGCAGCTTAGCACAAAAAGTCCATAATCATAAAATGTCTACTCCTGCCAGACGCCGCCTCATGCGCGATTTTAAAAGGTATGAATATTTCTGATATCTCTCTCCTTTATTAGTCAGGTTCATTTACAAATTTCATATCCATCATACTATTGTTATAATAATAATAATATTGCAGTTTCAGTGTTTATTAGGCCGTAGGCCTGTTGCCAATTCATAACATCTCTTGTCTATGAGTTCAGCTCTTTTTGTCAATTTAAAGAGGTGCTAATTATTACTAAGATTTTAAGTTTGATTAAATCAGTGATTTGTTTTAACAGTGTGATAATTCCAGATCTATTTTGTTGCTGGGAAATTTTTTGAACAGATTTCTGCTCATCATTAATGAGATGCTGGCATGCATCTAATTCATGAAGTGTTAAACTGCATCCAATCAATCAGTTTTTGCCAGTTCCAGTTCACATGTGCTCAGGTGTTTGGGATCCTGCACTATTGTCACCTGCACAGTGCACAGCCTGCCCTTCTGCAATAGTTCTATGTTCCTTTTCAAAATATTAGCAAGTTATTTCTGAGATTTCACTTGCAGGTATTGCGGTTCTTGAATTTTGAAAAGACTAGATTAGGACTAAACAAAAAGTTTACTAGTATATAGTTTCTCAATAATTCATGGTTCAAGTGGTTTTTGTTACCAATTCATGACTTGCCATACAAGGAATTCTTTTGTAATATTGACATGATTTGCAGGTTGCAGGAAGACCCGCCTGCAGGTGTGAGTGCTGCACCAACTGAGGATAACATCATGATTTGGAATGCAGTTATATTTGGGTTAGTTAATGCTGGAAATGAACCCTAGTTATTCACATCAATAACCATCATCTGTGGCATTTTTCTTCTTACTGAAGTATTTATTGAATAATAAGTATCGTGTTGAATTGTGAGTTTGTACACCTAATACCTCGTTATATACAGTGGGGGGAAATAAATATTCGTACACTTGAAAAATCGTATTTTAATGTATGTAAGTAATTTATTGTTTTGTACGAATACTTTTTTCACCCCGAAAAGTGAACATGTTGCATTGTTTTTTGCTGCATTGAGATTTAATTTCTTTTGATAGTATTTTTGAATACTATGCGTCTCTATACATAATTTAAATCACTTTTCCTGTTAAGTTTGTGTACTTACATACATTAAAATACGATTTTTCAAGTGTACGAATATTTATTTCCCCCCACTGTATTACAGAGCAATAAACAGGAATCGACAAAAAACTTTCAAGATTTTACTCTGATCAAGTCGAAATTGAATTTCAATCTAGCTATGCAGATTTTGTATTTCAATCATTATTCAAAAATCATAAAATGAAAATTAAAGGCTAAATGTGAAGTTTTTAAGGTCAGAGACTCGTTTTTAATGCATTTTTTGTTACTTTTGACTATTGGTCAATTTTGATTGTTCTAATTTGCAGACCTCATGACACTCCGTTTGAAGATGGGACCTTTAAACTAACCTTGGAATTCACTGAAGAGTATCCCAACAAACCTCCTATTGTGAAATTTGTGTCTAAAATGTTCCACCCAAATGTTTATGCGGATGGTGGCATCTGTTTGGACATCCTCCAGAATCGTTGGTCCCCCACATATGATGTTGCTGCCATTCTTACTTCAATTCAGGTGACATAGATTTGGATGAATCGAATGCTTCATATACTGACTTTTCAACCCTCCATTACACTGGAAAAATGAGTAAATTGTCCTCCTCTCCTGTTCATTTACCTCAATTTGGGAACCATTGTGGAGAAGTGTAAACATGTGTTTGTTTCCCACAGTTACTTGCAGTGGTACTAATATATGATTTTTCCGTAGTCACTGTTGGACGAGCCCAACCCGAACTCCCCAGCAAACAGCCTGGCAGCGCAGCTGTACCAAGAGAACAGGCGCGAGTATGAGAAGAGGGTAGCGGCCATTGTGGAGACGAGCTGGCTCAACTTCCAGGAGGATGATGACGCTGATCAAGACAAGAAGGACACCTAGTAAATCATTGGCTTAGGAAAAGTAGAGGGTTATGACCACCTAGGTGACAGTCATGCCATCTAGGTGTCGGTCATGCTATCTAAATAACGGTCATGCTACCTAAATAACGGCCATGCTAACTAGATGATGGTCACGCCACCTTGGAATGCGGTCCAAAATCAGGGCTGTCCATTTGACCTTTATTGGTTTTCTTGTCTTATGGACGGTTTAAACAATGTCAGTCTACATGCTAGGATTAGAGCGAACTTTTAAGTTTAGAATTTTAGCATTGCACTTGCAGTTCATTGCCGTAATAATTAGTGACTCGTGTCGTGGGTCAAGTCAGATCATCGTCGTGTTGTGTGGATCATTTACGAGACTTCTCTCACCATAGAGTATTCTGTTCAATAAATGTCATTTAAGCAATCGTTGATGTTAGTGCACTGCCAGTATTGACCTAAATCGTGGAGGTGACTGAATCTACAGTGACAGCTACGTGAATAATTTGACTCTTGAATTACTAGCACAGTTAGTATTCGTCTCTGAATACAAAGATTAGCAGAAGTGTGTTTATCAATTATAAGCGCTTTATATTATTTCTAAGCGTTTCAGTAAAGTTACTCCTTGTAGAACAGAGGTTATGACAGGCCATCTCTTCTTTCGTAATGTGTGAAATTTCCGTTGTAGATCAAAACATAATTTACCACGTCTGTAAACTCTGTTTTATAGCGTTCTTCTGTATTTTTCTCTGATCAACCTTGGCCGCTGTTATTATTTGAATTTCAAAGTATCCAACAGGAATCTTAGTTAAGTACTTAATTGGTTTACTGGTAATGTTCAGGTTTCTCTTGTGTTGTTGGGTTTGCCTTACCTTTCTTGGTTTATAGTCTCAATAACTTGATCCTCATTGGTGTCGTCTAATGAAGTGCAGAATGCACATCTTCATTAAATCATTAATTTTATTTTACCATCTTGTATTCATAGATAATTTTTATTTGACTTCTAGCGAAATTAAGGAATGAGCATTTCATTAGTTACATTCATGTGTACTGTATCTAAAATCCCAATTTATATCTTAAGTCAAATTATATGAAAAGAAGTGGGGTAAACAGCTGTTATATATACCTGCATGTTTGACTTTCATGGAGTCCCTGGCTGTGACAGCCATCAGCGGTGGCACATAATAATCATTAGCGTTAACTTGAAGAATTGTTAAAAAAACAGGCCCAGCACTTTTCATCCAGGCAAATGACGTTGAAACAATGGTAAGTATGAGTCGACTATGTTGAAACTACGTTTGATCAAATTTAATTCAACATCTACAGCCTGGTGCAAAGGTGTTTTTTTTTTCTTGGTCCAACCGTGTCAGGATGTTCTTCATATTGGTGAGTGAGAGAAAAAGGATCGCTGTGCGGACAATGACGGACTTATTCTTCCAAATGTGACCGCAAATTGATACTTAGATCGAACACCGAACATTGGTTTCTCAGCACGTTGCAAATCAATAACTGCTGTTGCTGCACCCTTGATTTTCTCGGCCATGCTTGTTTGTAATTAATAAATTGAGTTCGTAAAAAGAAAACCTGTACGAGCATCTCATTATCTGTTTCGCTTTGTGATCCGAGCATCTTATTGCGTAGTGGAAACCAACTTCGATACCTCGAGCCTCCTCGAAATTTCTTATGCAATGGAATTAACTACTACTCCAATTCTTATGCAATAGACAATACGAAAGGGTAATAATTCTGTTGTTGAAGATACGTGTACTGGCGTTGACGAAGCAATCTTAGTGACCTAAGCCTTTAAATAAAAGAGTTATGATGAATGACAGAATAGGAAGTGAGGAAACTTATCCACGTAATCGACCGTGCTTGGAAATGGGTAAATATTTTTTTGGAATAACTAACCGAAGACTCGTAAACGAAAATGAGTTTTCTTAAAAATTAACTCGGAAAGCAATGCGTCACTGAAACTGATATCGCAGAACGTCACGGAAAGATGAATTTTTCAACTTCAATGAAACGCATTGGAGAGAAAAAGTGCGATGTACCATGCATTAATTACCTGAACATGAACATGGAGTTATCCCAAGCAAATCGATATCAGTCCCTTATGCGACCAATTCAAGAGATCCCTCAAGCAATCAATATTAATTTCTTCATATCGACAGAAAAACTTATGTGGTACTTAAACAATACGAGGATGCGTGAAATCCTATGAGGATCTCGTCTATTTTTACAGTTTTATTACTTTAATGCAACGCTAAATAATACTGTGCAAGAGTTAAACGCAGTTCGGACGCGTGCTTAACTTGATGCCTGCAACCAAGCATTGCTGCATTACAGACTTGACTCTGCCCTGTGAAACAATGTTCAGAAAATAACTAACATCGAAATAATCTCGCAGCTGCTGCATTAGTATAAGATCAAGTCACATTTTAATGCGATAGTACAATCTCGACAACCATCAAGCAATGTGGGAAGAAATATAGTAAAGAACCCCATACAACTAAATCAAATCTTTTACCTAACCAAAACCGTTGACTGTCATAAGTTACATAAATGAAATATTTGAACATCGGACTTAAACATACAGTAGGGAAGATACCAAGCTAAAGGAGGCTTAAAATATTTCCGTAATAATGGAAATGAGATAAAAAGTTATTCTGCGTCGGAAGATGTGAATTATGCACAAAAGTGTGTACAAGAGATAAATGCTCATTGTGACACGTTAAATAGAATGAAGTGAAAGCTCATTTTGAGCGACACTACTAAGTTCTTGCGAGTGGAGTGCATCAAATTTACCAAGGAAATGATGAGCGTCAAGATAACCGAACGTAGCTGCCATCACGTGTGAAACAGATGGAATTGCTGCATCAATAATTTCCATCATACACATGAATTAGAAGAAAAATGAACCAATGCAATGATTGTGGGACCTTCAAACAGCTGTAACGTCCATTGATAAAACCATCGTAACAATTCGTTAACTCTTGTTGGTACGTGCAATGCAGTCGTTCTCAAAGCGTTCGCCCGTTTAGTCCAAAATAACGTGCCACATTGCGCTTGTTACTTCTTTCACAAATATTTATACCATTGGATTTTTCAAGGTCGACCCTCCACTGTCGTTGATATAGGTAGGCAATTTCTACAGGCTGTAACTCATCCACTCAGTCAAGGTACCACTGACCTTGAAGTCATTCATCGTGTGAACGGGTACAAGTTGGCCACCAAAATATCACTTTTTACTTTACTTACGTCCCGAGTACTTAATCCTTAGTTGTGACCGGTGAATTATCAACAACGAAAACATTGACGGATAACAGAACAACTTATGGTCTTGAAAACGAACAAGCTTGGAAGCACTAACTATAAATGCATAGAATTCATCGGTAGCAACCAGGATTTCTAGTTAAAATGCATCCTAACCGAAGTTAGCAAGTTGCAAAATAACACTTGACAGAGAACACGTATAGTGACATCCTTTGAAAGCTGGAAACTCAACATTACCGTTCATTTTTTAGCAAAAGTTAAACATATACATAAACTACAAAAGTTGTAGGAATATTAGACGTGAGACGTAAGACCCCAGTAACAGTTCTTGCAGGCGGTGGGTACAGGCAAAACCTAAACCATGCAATCCTTATAAATACATGGAAATTCATTCTTTCGACGTTAAAGCCAAAAAGTATGGTTGAATAAATAATTTTTACATTTGTTTTCGATTTTTTACATGGTTGCAAATCGCACTAAATAAATTAATACAATGTTTATTGCAAAAATATTGATTTAGTGTCAAACTAGAATTAGGTAGATAAATGAGAATAAACTAAGTGCCATATAAATGAATATAATCGTGTTTTTAACATACCTTATTGATAACTGGTTACTTCGGGGATTAAAGGAAAAAAATCTACATAATCTTTGTTGACCGGACATCGTAATTTGCAAATACTGTTCGTCCTGCACCAGAACGTGTCAGGGCACAAGTTTTGTATGATGCGGTGGGCGAATGAAGGAGTCGTGATAACGTAGCCACTAACACAAGCCGGGGTTAGCAAGAAGGAATTTATTGAGCGATCATTTCTAGCGAATATTTCAAAGGTCTCATAGGAGATCACTTTCACAATAACGAGGTGATGATACAGCTAACGAAAATTTCATGGAGCGAGCAGCGTTTGGAGTGCAATACCAACGATATGCCCACATAATTTGGGCCAAATTTAACAACTTCTTAAGCTAACGTAATGCAGCCTCCAGTGCGCATACATCGTAATATTCGGGAGAATTTATGATTCTCTGTTCAACGTTCGAACAATACAGGTTAGTTGGCAAATCCTCTGGTCACTTTTAGGAAAAAAGTAGAGCACTCAAATAACACACACATTAACGGCGTTACGACATACACATTTATATACATCCAAAGTTGAAGTAGTATGATATTATTCATAAGAGTTAAAACTTGCAGCTGAAGGTTTAAACGTGCTGCCAAAAAAAAAACTGATCTAGTTCGCGCCGAAGGCACAACAAAGCTAAGATCAGTGACTTGATACCATTTTCATAAGAGTAAAACTTCCCGATGATCAATGCACAAACGTTCAAGTTCTGTGAAAAGTTCATAATGTTAAACTAGTTCACTTTTAGCACTAAACGGGATAGAATATTCACAGAGCTCACAAATTGACATGATAATCAAGTTCAAGTCGCTGAAACTTAGCAGCTAGAATCGCTAACATATTAAACTCAAGACTAATCATTAGGTGAACAGACATATCATAAAATATAACATATTTAACGGCTGCAGTCGAAATCCCAACGAAAAACGTGATGCGAAACTTTATGAGATACGCAAATAAATTTGACAAGATGGAAAATGTACTCTTAGCGAGAAAGAAATCATTAGAGATAATAAATTGGAATCAATTAGAAAAATTTTTCAAACTTACGATTAAGTACAAGCGAGAGATGATTTCCTAATGAATGTAGCAGTAGCAAATAGTAACGACTTCATTCTCATACAACAGATATGATCATTTCCAAACAATCTCACGAGGTAATCTCATTGAACTATTGCAAACACCGAATTCATGTTTAATTGATATATTAAAAACTATAAAAGAACTAAAGACCAATAAGCGAAGACTGCAAGTAGATTCGTACTCGTATATCATCAACTCCTCTTAATGTCATTTTGTTCATGCGCCATCCTTGCCTAAGAATTAAAAGGTCGTGATTTCTCTTCATGGAAAATCAGTCTTCTTAGGGAAACAGGGGTGATTATTTCTATTTTATTCGACCAAAATGAAAACTAGTTTCTAGCCACAAACGAATACAGTTTCGGTTGTCATCAGATAAAAAAATGGAAATTGATTTGGGTGCAGAGAAGAATCTCATACAGACATTAGCTGAGGAATGCATGTTACTGAACTCAACGGAATAGATCTAGTTTCAGACGGAATAGAAATAGAACACAACATATTCTACTGGATTCAAACAAAAATTCGACAGTAACTAGTATAAAATTTCGCGCGGAATTTAAATGGCGTCGGCGGGGCTGGAGAACTCAGAGAGCGCCTTGATGGCGGAGACGCCTTTCTTTGAGGCACCCTTGCGCACCTTGGCGCGCACGTCTTCGGACTTCTCTCGGCGCACCAAAGGCTTCTTCTCAGGGGCCTTCATCTTCCACACCACGATGGGCGACTGCGCGAAAAATAATTAATATGATAAAGTGATCCAGTTACTCTGGGTAACTGCACAAAAAAATCAATGTGATAGACAGATCATGTGACAATGGATGACTGCATCCTAAATAAATGCACTTTAGAACCCACATCCGCAGCTGTAGTCGAAGCCACATCTGGTAGAAGACTGCACACATGAAACTGGATTCTGAACTCAAGATCACCATTAAGACTGCAGCATCAACATGATATCAACACACCTTATTCCATTTTGATAATTTGCTCTTGAAACACTGACACTTGAATATTTCAACAGTTTTTTTTAAACGTGTCAACCTTGGTCCACTGGTTTTCAACTTGGCTACAATGTAGCGAAGCACTGAATCATTCTCAAGTCAACCTGACACGGTAACAACTACTAGCCTGTGTTCTGAATAAACTTAATAATATATTTTTGGATGAGGTTCACTCACGGCAATCATGTCCCTCTGATGGCGAGGGTACTTGGTGGAGGCGACGTAGGAGCATTTGACCGTCAGCACCACGGCGTTCATGAGGTTCTTCGCGGCCTGGATCAGCGACGTGGCGGAGTCCAGCTGGTAGACGACAATATTTGAGTGAGTAGGTATTGGAAATTACAAGTGCAGCCATGAATATAAATAAGAGAGCAGCCTTGAATTCACGTAGGACAGCAGTCGTTAATGAAAGTAGAAAAGCGCCAATGAAAAACACAAGACAACCTTCTCATTTGTGCAGCCGCCACACTTACCCCAGACACAATAAGCTCGCCGGAGATGTTCTGAACATCAGCCTTGACTTTAGAAGTGATGTTGAGCTGGTGGCAGTAGAGGGCGATGCGGTCGAGGTAAGCCAACATGTCGTCTTTGGTCCGGGACTCCGGACATTGGTCCGCAATCTGCCGAGCCAGTTTGTCCAGCTTGGTGCCCGCCTCACTGATCTTCTTAGCTGCGCTGATCACATCCATCGTGATCTTCAGGTTACCGCGACCTCTGCCACGGAAAAAATATTGTCTGAATTTATACTATTGGAGAGAATGTGAATAATACTACAATTTATTGTAGGAGACTACAGCCAAATATCTTAGGAAGAATGTGAATTAACGTAACTTCAATTCTAAGAAAGTACTAATTATTTATGCCTAGCTTTAGATTTTTTAGGAATGAAATATATTCTAGACTACCTACAGTCTACATGTAGCGCTCAAGCATCATTTGCTAAATCAACTATTGAAGGAAGATAAGTGATGTTTCCTCCGACTCAAGCATAGCGATTAGTGTTTATGTTAGGATTGTGTAAACTGAAATTATGTCCGGAGTTGGATGAAATGATGAAAGAAGCGATTGAGATGAACAAATATTATGAATAAGCGAGGCCAACACACCGCGTGAAGTCCGTCATCTCCATCATAATCATGCACATGTGCTTGGCCAGAACGATGATGTCGTTGCCCGTGTCGTCCCACTTGGCCACTTCTTGGTCGAACTTGGCTTTCTCCAGCCGGAAGTTCTCAACCTGCTCAGTGAATGATGAGAGTATTAGTAATAATTCATTTAGAGAAACTATGGCTTTGTTTCAATAAAATAGCATTTTTTAGCGGGGACCTTGTTTCATAACTGACCATAATCCTAATGAAATTGTTAACAGAAATGTATCCCAAGTTGCGTTGCCTCTTTTTGGCAATTCAAGTTTTAATTTCCACGGTGTAAATTGTCGCACCAAGCCGTTATATGTGTACGATTGAATAATCAAACTAAATTTGGAGCTGTTCTCCAAACTGTTTTCTTAGAAAATGCAGCGATTTTTCTTTGCAATTATTTATTTATTTTCAATTTTGCAGTTCAATTCTCGGATAAAAATGTTATTTCAAGTCAAATGAAGCAACGTATTCACCTTTCAACTTAATATTAACAATTTAGAACCACTTTCCTTTGGTAACACGTTCACAAAGGTTCCTGATGGCCACTGACTCACCTGCGTGGCGATCTTCTCCTTGTCCTCCTCACTGAGGTTCCTCATGGCGTCGCGAGCGGTGGTGATGCCACTAACGCCAGGGTACTCGTCGATGGTCGTGTCCACCGTGTGGGCAGATGCTGCACATATATACTCAGCGTTTTTATCCAAACGAATAATCGTATTTTGCAGATTTTTCACGGTAACGAGATATAATTATCGAATAACGGGGTAATTATTTCACACGTTAGAGTTGTAACTCCGGAGCATATTCATCATATACATGAACGCTCATGTTAATATTTTAATTTATGTCACGTACATTTCATAGTATGCAGTACACGACAATCAACATACACTTGCTCCTCATCTCGAGGGCGTGGTACTCGTCCATGAGCACGTCGTCAGGGTCGAGCTCGTCGTCAGCTTTGTTCATGAGGACGGCCATGCGGATCTCCCTGACGCCGTCGTAGACGAGGTGCGACGCGTCCACGAACTCGTTCTCGTCGACGTCCTTGCCGCGCCCACCGCCCCCCACGCCTGACGTCAGGCCCTCCACCGCCACGTCCACGCGCTGGGCGAAGTTCGGGAGCACTGCACACGCAAGCCGAGTTACATATAGATTAAGAAATAAATATTTAATACGAGTTATAGGCTGATTTCTAGTTATTAAGAGGCCAGCTGATTTTTCAACAAAGGACAGCGGCACTTCACATAAAAACTGACGCTACAAACAAAGTAAAATCTGACTACCTATTATAGCAGGAAAAACTTGTGTCAGCCAAGACCTCATGAGGACAATATGATGTTAAATATCTGGTAAACCCCAAACACTCAAGCATGCGGTCAAACAAAAAGTATTGGACACGAATGGTTCATAATAAAGATGGTACGAATTTAAATTTGATCGTACAAAGATGGTACAAAGCAAAGAAGGAATTCATCTACCATCAGTCATCAACATATAACCAAGTCTTTCATTAATAACAAATCTGAAGATGAAAAGCAAAGCATCTGAAACTTATTACGGTTTATGCATTAACTTATTTTTTGGTGATAGACTAGTCACAAAACCTATCAAATATGTAAGTATCGCAGACAAAATGGTCAGAAGCTTATCATGGTTCTTTAACTATGTTAGTAAGGGATACTTCACTACGACATAACTATGTTAGTCATTGACATTTCATACTATGACTCAACTAAGTTATTATAAGAGACAAATTGAGCAGGAGCTTACCCTGATCCCTGAGGACCTTGACAGCCTCCAGGACCCTGTCGGTGTAGACGCAGGGTTCGTAGTTGTCCATCTCAGCAGCGACGACGTGACACACGCGTGAGGAGCGGCCACGTATGGCCCCGGCGATGCGGTCCAGCGTGTCAGGGTCGCCTTCATTGATGGCTCGAACGCAGGTCTTCACGTCCTCCAGGATATGAGATTCTGGAAAAATAATATATATTAAAAACATGGGATAAACACTCGCTAAACTGAATCATCCAGGATATGAGACTGGAAAAATGAGATATAATAATAACATGGGATAAACACTTGCTACACTGAATTAAAGATAGAATTCAAGTTAACGGTCCTTTTGGACGCAGATTCTTTGCAAAATATTGTAATGATACATATGAACAACATTCGATGAACTCTTGCTGCACAGAATTAATAATAGAATATAAGTTGACATCATTTGGATGTGGGCCTTTTGAAAAAAAAATACAGAGGCAATATATTGGTTAAACTCTTGTTACGATTAAACTGTAGTTGACCTCCTACCAGAAGTGCAAATCTAGGTAAAATCATGGAACGCACAATAAAACAGATAATAGATGACCTCTAGCCATGCTGTATTAGTTTGCACTTTTACATACTAATAGACATCATCGCTGATACACCATCGTGAGCAACACACAAAATGACGGAATAACACATGAAACAACATTTCAACGTAGAAGGTTCTATTATAGAAAAAATTCCAAGATAAAAGTAACCACAACTTGATTGCTTGAAGATCGTGTGACGCCATTGAATTCTCTGGGTCGGTATTCTTGTTCTGGGCAAATTTGCATTGAATCAAACTAAAGTGCATAACATTGCAAGTAATGATTAACATAACATTTCTGCGATAATATCTCACCAGACACGGCGAGGAAGTCATCAATGGTGGTTATGTCGTCAACAGCATCCGTAAGGATGCGCACCTGATGCTCCCAGGCCGCCTTGAACGCGTCCATGTTCTCTGCCGTCACCTGGGCAAGTAACGTAACAAGTTAATACACAATTACAGCACATTTTGGATATCTTATAATTTAAAGTAATGTTAGTGCATGATGATAATTTGTAGCAACGAGAGCACAACCTCCAACTGATGTCCATTAATAATATTATTTTATCTTTGATTTCTCTTAACCTTTCCATTTTAATGTAACATTTTTGAACATCACAATCCCGAGTTCGCCTCCATGTCTGTGATCAATATTGCCAGCAGATGTCCATTAAGAGGGCCTTGCTGTCAAGTTTAATTGTCGCTCAAAGGTGCTCAATCACATTCTTCTTGGCAATAATGAACTACGTACTATGCATTCTCTTGCTATGTTATTTATGTGGTTCATAATTACATCACCTTGCTCTTGAGCCGAGTAGAAAGCACCTTGCTACCTAAATATATTCATATTTATAAATCTGAAGGAGTTGTCACCTTGCAAACATTTTCATGATATCTATAATTTTGAAGTAGGTATTTATAACCTCGCTATCATTATTCATGATGTCAATAGATAATTCTGTGGCCCTTATCACCTTGCTCTTGGGTCTGGCAGCGAGGATGCGGGCGGCGTTGATGACCTGCGGGCAGAGCTGCTCGATGTGGGCGGACGCGAAGCGCACCATCTTGACGCCGTCTTCGTTGTTGCTCATCGTGCACGCCAAGTTAGCGACCTCGACGAGCTTGTTCGCGTGCTCCGTAAACACCTGGACAATAGTGAACATACAGTGAATATCTGGTGGACAAATACAGTGAACACCTGGTGAACAGTGAACACCTGGTGAACAGTGAACACCTGGTGAACAATGAACACCTGGTGAACAATGAACACCTGGTGAACAGTGAACACCTGGTGAACAGTGAACACCTGGTGAACAGTGAACACCTGGTGAACAGTGAACACCTGGTGAACAATGATCACCTGGTGAACAGTGAACACATGGTGAACAGTGAACACCTGGTGAACACTGAACACCTGGTCTGATGAACACCATAAGTGAACACAGAGGAAAATTAGAGTGAACTCCAAGTGGACAATACTTGCTGTTACTTCACTATAGGCGAGTAAACAACAGCTGGATGATTTGAGACAACAACCACGCTGGATAATCCCTAGAACCATTATCCGGAATCCCTAGAACCCTAATCCAGCAACAGCCGGATAATCCCTATAGAACCATTAACTCCCAATTAACTAAAGAAATCTTTAGTGCTGGTGGGAATATTCAATAGGTGAAGATGTTCAATAAAATATTGGAACACCTATCACATGTTTTCGACCTGCTTGCTCACACTTCAACACCAATACAAAACCCTTTGACTTGATATATGTGAAATACTAAAAGGTTTCCCATCAATTTCAAAATGAACTAACATCAAAAGTTCCATGTATGTGTACTCAACTACTATTTTGGCGAAAATTATGCTGAACTCTCTTCGTTACTGATTCTGAAATACTTGCAAAAGCTGAATATTAAGCATTCAATTTTTTTATATAATTTAATTCACTAAGATTTATTTTACCTGAGCATACTCGTCGACCTCTTTCTCATTGCCTGAACGAGCAGCTTCTACCAGCACCAGCAGAGGGACGTTTGTCTCCAGGAAGCTAAAACAACAAATAAATGAATATCATAAACATTTTTCATGGTGATAATTTATTTGTGATCATCATATTTGACTGGGATGAAGCTTACTTAGATCCAATACTAATATCATTTCAAAGCTTTGATAAAATAAATTAAAATGTATCATCCTCGCTCAATTCAATTGAATAATAAATATCAATGTAATTAAAGTTAGATGAACGCACAACAAGGTAGCCAATCTGACTCAAATTTTATTTAGAAAAAAGACTTCACATTGACCTGGCAAAAAGGAGGCCTATTCCCAGAAGTGGTTTCACATTAACCTGTCAAAAACTTGTACGCCACACGAAAATACTTCACACCAGCAGCTACACGCACCTGTCAGAGACGTGGTCTACCATAGGATCAGCCATCACACCCACCTGTCAGAGACGTGGTCTACGACAGCCTTGCGGAGCTGACGCCGCAGATCTTTGGTCTTGCCAAACATGTGTTCAATGGCTTTGTCAAGGCCCTCACTTGGCTGTTTGCGGCCCATCTGCAAACACGACAACACTCATTCTGAGAGCTCTTTGTTATGAAATTCATTGTAAAGTGTAAACAAAACTCAGCCTAATACACAAAGGTAAAAAAACAAACAGCATGAAAAACAAGCTAGGACAATTAATGGATTGAAGAGTTGACTTCTATTAGAATTTTCACCTACAGATGGCGGATATATTTGGTATTGGTAGAAAACTTTGTGAATATATTCAAGGACAGTCACTGCGGAAAAAAATTTTCTTAATAAGTTTTAAAAAATTATCTAGTAGTCAAAATTTCAAACCAATCCACGAGTTCTAATACATAAATTGATGCAGACTGAATGGGCCAGATTTTCAATTCACTCTAAGATTTCCACATGGAGAATGCACTTAACGCTATGCACATATTTTTCAATATAAATAACATTCCAATAAATTCACCCAAACCCCTACAAAATCCAAAATAAAGTGAAATGAATATAAGCAATGAAATAGAATGCACTACATACATTATCCATGTACTGGGTAAGCAGGTCCTGCAGAGCCTGCCTCACAGCATTGCACTCCTCCACTATCTTCAGCCGCCTGTCGTCCCTCGTGCAGAAGGAGTCTGCCATCAGCGCTGCTCCGCTGATGATGCTCTCTAGGCGCTCCTCCAGCGAAGGCCGTGTCCGTACTTCGTTGTATGTCACGGGGTCCATGTTAATACGCTCCTGAGGGGCGATATTATTATCAGTATTATGAATATGAATACAAGAAGCATAGTAAATGGCAAAGTAATTTGGCACGTATGTACTACGTTTTACGTTTCCTCAATGAGCATAGTATTATCCATATGAACACATGAAGTGTTAATGTTTGGCATCTCATGTTTCATGGTGGCCATATTGACACTTTCATTCACATTGATACGCTACTGAGGGAGCATATTATTATCCATATGAACAAATGAGGGCACTTGGTAATGCAAATGTACTGGGCACTGGAAGTCCAAAAAGTGGCGTGACGGATGAAACGTAGACATTTAGGATGACTGCACATAGATGCCCTGATAAAAAACTATATTTTTTAAAGATCAAAACAAATTTAACAATGCCATTTGTAATGTAAGTCACACTTTGATAAAAAGATGCAATATAAGTGTTAAAAAACCCAATTAGTTGGGTTTTTTAGTTGTATTCTATAATACACACCATAAACACTGAATTGAGATGATGACTGAATAATTAATCTCACTAAGAAAACGTTATAGGAACGAATGCACCAAACAATTTCAAAAAAACTAAAATAGTTGCATAAGAAATAAATATTAATCATAGTCTACATTAAAAGCAATAATAATCATTAGGAATAGACACGTTTTAGCCTAATTTTACAACCACAATTATGACAAATTCAATGAATGAACACATTGAACAGCAACATCAGAACTAACATCAAAGTCGTCGAGAGCAGAAGCAAGTTCCCCTGGCCCCTCATAGGGCATCTGAGAGTCTCCAGTAGAGCGGCCCTGCGCCACGTCGCTGATGGTCGCCACTGCCTCACACACTTGCTTCACCACGAAGTCTCGGTTGGCCTTAGCTGCTGCCAGCTCAGGGTGTCGGACATATGCCTGCAATGAAGCATATGTGAGGTACTATTTGAAACATACATGAGGCATATGTGAGGTTTATTTGAAGCATACATGAGGCATACATCACATGGCAGTAGTCAGAGCTACCTTCTCTAACCGAGATAGAAGGATCACCTTAGAAGCAGTGAGGAGCATCATGGAGTTTTTCTTAAGGACGGCTCGTGCAGAGGCAAGATCATCCCTCAGTCTTGGGTCTTTAAGCTCCCCTTGCCGCTTGGCGGCTCGGTTCACCAGCTCTGAAGTGTTCTTGCCAAACACTCGGAAGTTGTCTACCAGCTCTGACTGGCTAGACGCGTTCTTGACTTTCTCAATGTCATCTTCCACCTGGTGAATGATAAAATTATTAAGCAAGTTCAAAATGTTAAGGAGCTCACAAAATTTGGTACAAATTTTCTCCTCTCCTCTAGTGTCAATTCCTGCTGCATTAATCAGGACCGTTGACTCTACCTAATAATTAATTCTACAAAATCCTACAATGCCCGATCGTGAGCAGCATGTTGCTGGTCCTGGCCAGTGAATAGCTCTTCATCATGTGGATGTAAACTAGGTATATAATCCCTCATTGCTTATGGACGAAAACATTTTATCTTGATGTAAATTCAGTTTAAACTCAAACAATTAAAACCAAGAAAAAATAATCAATGAATTTGTATGAACTGAGGCTAGAATCTATTCAGTGTGATAAGATTGTTAACACTAATTTTAATCTTTATACATTTCCTCCTGGTGAGCTGGATTTGAAAATTTCATTCACCAGATGGTCTGTAATGATTCCAATCATATTTTGAGTAATTCATTATTTACAATACCCACCATCTGTAATCCTTTAAGTAGCCTGTGGACATCAACCATGTCAGCAAGAATTAGCAGCCGCGTCACAGCGCTGAGGAGGTTACGAGCTGCCCTCACCAAGCTGCTGCGCTTGGCACTGCTGCACGGGTCCTCAGCAAACTCACGAGCTCCTACTGACATCACTTCACCTGAAATTACAATTTTGTCCATCAAAAATGTAAGCAGCAATTAGCACATTCATTTCCTACTTTTCACAGGAATAGGTTATCATACATCCATGATGAAATGATGACTGCTCTAAAAGCAGTTCATGCTTTGCCTAACAGTATAGTTGGAATTTTTATGTATGTTAAAAATATTTCTATCATGTAAAAAAATTTTTCACAAGCTAAAAATCAATTAGAAGACAGTAGAATTTATAATACAAGAAATAGAACCTAGAATTCAAAAACACAAATCTTCACTCATCCATCAATGAAGAGTAGGACAAAAGCAGTAGGACCAATCCATAAATTTTTATATAGCATACATATCAGAGTCAATAAGCATACCAGTTTTGCGAACTTCCTCAACGGCAGCCAGCATTTCCACTTTGATATCAGGATTTTTGAAGGCAATTTCCTCGCCCCGCTGGATGAAGTTGGCAGTTGCTGCCTCTACAGCTGCTACAAGCACATGGGCTCGCTTGCTGCGTCCTTTTTTCTTATGTGATGGACCTTTTGTGTTCACCAGAGTTGTAACCTACAACCCAAGAAGACCATATTACTGGGTTACGAGGATACTAGGTATATCACATTAAGACCATTTTTTAGTGACATTAGGTATTATTAAGTTACAAGAAGACAATAGGTAATGAAATGACAACACTGTTCATGCCAAGTAGGAGAGAACATCAAAAGCTAGACATATTCAAGCACCAACTACTAATTTTTAAAACTTTAGAAATATAGTACCTACTGTAATGCAATGCCTCATTTATATACTAAAATGTTCAAATAACAAAGAATTTATCTTGAATCTAGTAAATATAGGTATATACATGTACAAATTCAGGTTAAATTTATTAGGTCAACAATGAGTGAACTTCATAGAATAATACTAAATAATTCTTCATATATATCTACCTATCTTCTTTAAAATTTACATATTGAAAAACCATTAATTTTTCGGAACCACTCTGTGTACAAAGAAAAAATTGATATTTCCTATACTGTTCATGCTTTGTAGGAATGAATTCATGATATAGAGAAAATATTTGTAATTATTAGGCTTGGCAAATAAGCAGTTATATATAAACACTGTTCATTGACAGAACAATATTAAACAAACCAAAAACATCTATGCATAGAAGGTAAAATACAGAACAATCAAGCAATGATATTTCTAAACCTGTACATTCTTACAATAAACCTCCTGCATTTTAGATAAATGATAAACAAACAAAGTTGATACACTCAATAAATAAATAAATAACTTAAGGTGATGGTGATGGATGCAAAATTAAATTTGTGTTTGAAGAAAGTGCCCTTATAAATAGTGGCAAAATATATAACCAATCTTTGTGCTTCTCTCAGAAACAAAAGGTTCCTTAAAGCAAATAACTTACAAGTTGATGGCTTTCACATTGTAAGATTTTAAAATTTTAATGAAAGGCATGGCTTGTTGTCACAAGAAAAAATAAATGAGTAAATAAGATACCTAAGTTACTATTTAATTTGATACTGCAGGAAAGGATTTTCTTACTTATATTATTCTTTTCTTGTACTCTGAACAATTAACTCAGGATTGCTGGTGATGAAGGGGCAGTAATTTCAGCTCTGAAATTCATTCCTTGAAAAGTTCTTAAGAAAATCTAATCAGCAGTCAAGATAATTTGGAAATCTAAAAAAGTGTACCATTTTTATTTTTTTGGATAATACTCAAGTACCTACGTACATATCTTATTGCTGGGTCATGATGATTGTGGCCTATATACATTTCTATTGCAAAAATTTATTAGTGTTAGATGATGTATGATGAATATTTACTGCTGGTAGAATCAAACCTGTACAAGAAGTGGCTCCAAAGTTTTCTCAACAGATCTTGTTGTGATTTTAAGGTCATTCAAGTTCCATTTGAACTCAAAGCCTTGAGCGGCACTGGCATCTTCTGCCACAAACTGCTGCTGGTTTTCCATACTTAGCAAGCAGCAAAGGCAGGCTATTCAATGCTAGTCAACTAGCAGTAACAAAAGAAAAGGGTGCAATATGCCCTGAAAAATGCAAAATGAGCAACCAAAAAAAAAAAAAAATTCAAGTGATAAAAGTAAGACAAGTGCTACAAAAATATTCAGTAGGAAGATGCCTTCAAGTAATAAAATTTGATGCATATAACTAGTTTATCATCCAATTTACCAAAAATTCCAGAACAACAAGACCACACAATTGGTGTTTTAATAAAGAATAAGCAATGAGAATAAAGCATACAATATATATATATTCCAAGGATTCTGGACTGAAGTGAGTAATGGCTTTTATACAAAGGTTAGATGTCTGATATTCACTCAGGGTAACACATATACATAAAAGAGTAACAATATCAATTTTGATTTTGAAAAGGAAGGCACCTTTCATGACAAAAATTACCATGAGGAATTGGTATCCACTAAAGTTTATTCAATGTTGCATTGAATTTTCAATAGAATGGAAGTAAGGTAGACAGTGAGGATGGAGAAACATTAGTACGTATGCAGAAAAATGCAGTAGCTGTCATGAATGACTTCAAAGAATTTATTACAGCATTGACCTTTGAATGCTTTTGGCATGGACAGGAAAATTGGAGCTGATATAATATTGTGAGCAGGTATAATTGATGTGTTTATCACAGTCAAGAAAGTTGAGTGGCAATTTTTGTTAGACAAGGTGCCTATTTAATGAAGAAGCAGCACAATATATATTGTAAGGCCACTAATTTGCTTACAGCATACAAAATGAAAAGACTGATGCTGAAACAAATTCCTTTTGGACCTTCACATATACGGTACAGAATTTAATTCATGGCCCATTTACAATAGAAATAAATAACACACACACAAGCTTCATCTAAATATCTAAGAAAAAAAGAAGAAGTGCAACACCTAGATGAAGCTTAAAAATAATAACTTGCAGAACATTAGTAAAAAAATAAGTGCAGCTGGAGTGAAGCTACAAACCTGGAGCACCAATGGCTCCAAAGTTCTCTCCACCGACATGGTGCGAATTTCCAGGTTTTTAGGATCCCATTTGAGCACAACAGGAGCACCAGGTGCTCCCACACCATACAGGTCATGAGTCATGTTGAGTAACACCAAATCCTGAAATCCTGGAATGCTGTGGAAAGCAGAATTATCTGGAAGAAAATAGTCTTGTGTTACTATAATAAGCAAAATAGTGAGAGTATTGTCAAAGGAGGTCTTCAAATTAACCCTTCAATGGTTGCGTGCTAAAAAATAATGAAATTGGTAACACAGCATACAGGCAGGCGTATGTTAGGCCATTTATAAATTGACACGAAAAATGTCTGGGCATTGATCATAGTTTACTTGATTAAGAATCCTACCAATAAGTTCTTTTTCTTATATATAATTAGCAAAAACTATTAACAAACTCTAGCTTAAAAAAATAATAATATAAACATGAATGCTAAAAAGCACTAGCATTTGCTGACATTGCTCCAAAATTTGAGCAGACTGCCTAGTGCTTAGCATTCATTTCCATTCAAAAAGAAAAATAGTTATGAAGATTCTGCCATTTCAGCAGCCATAAACAGTCAAATAAAAACATTTCAAGCTAATAATCATCACTAGTATTGCACAATGAAATTATTCTGGATGAATGAAATTATTATGTCCAAAATTTGTTGGCATGAAATACGTAATAACCTAACCACACATAACTGGCACTCGTGTGCTTTAGGTATTTTGTACCAAAAATCTAATTGCTCCTGTCACATATTTAGGTTCTTTACAAAGCCTCACAGCTTCATGATATACTAATACCATTATTTAAACTTAAAATTACAAAAAATGTAAATTTAATCCTTCTGTTTGATCTTCTCTGGATCAATCCCTGAAAATAATAAAATTCTAACTCAACCCCTTTGTAAGTGACAGGACTTCTTGGTCCCAAGCCACTAGGTATGAATAGTATTGATGACATTAAATTTATCCAAACAAAAGAGTTAATCCAGTTCATTTGTAATTACATAATAGGATTTAATATTATATTTTTCATCTCCACAATATACAAAATCTACACAAAATGAGTCTGTGATGGAGGTGATTCTGAATGAGGGAGTGAGATCAACAAAGTGAAGCATGAGAAAACAAGGAAAGAGTGGATGGCAATGATTGTGGGTCTGTCTGAGGGAGCAACTGCGGCTATGTTTGAGAGTGTGAAGAGATATTTGGAAAACATGGAGGTTGAGGGAGAGGAGGAGGATGACAAGAGTTGGGTCTTGAGGAGTGGAGGGTTGAGAGAGGGCAAGGTGTGAAGGCAAAGGTGACTGTGCCAAATGCTATAGTACATTGCTTCTGTTTTCTTTTAATGTTAACACGCATGACAAAATGTTTTAGCTCTAAAATTGCTGTGAATACATATTTTTTGAACTTTGGCTTATCTTGCTAGTCTGACGTTAAATTAAAATTTTTTGATGTTCAAAAAAAGAGCTTTTATTCAGTGTGTATGACCAATTTAAAGGTTGTGATTGGAAGTCAGCATGCACCCAATTCCAATTCTGCACAATTTTTTACTGGTCTACTCTTAGGACTCAAATAGGAGGTCTAAGAGTATCAGGTCTCCACTTTGCTACCATGCAGGATTAGTATTTTCAGTAATGAATATGACAGCTCCAAAGTGACAAATTATTAATACATTAGAAATCTTGGGGCCCAATTTTGACCTTTTGTCAACAGATAGGAGTTAATTCATTATTTGTAGATAAGAGTTGAATCATCAAGTGGAAATCTTATATAGGGTAAAATGGGGTAACTTAGACCACTTTTTTTATAAATGATGCCATTTTTTTACTAGCTAAATAAAACTTGAATTGAAACATGCAAAATACAGGTCTATACTCTAGCTTCACTCACCATAAATTGCTGGCTCCTGCATCTCATAGTCTTTATGTAATTTCAAAAAAAGTGGTGGTCTTTGTTACCCCAGCTCTTGGGCTAACTTAGACCGGGTGGTAAAATCAATTATATTTTTTGGTAAAATAACTCCAAATAACTCCAGGTTTTGGTGCATTGTAGTAGAACTCTTCTAGTTACATATGCAAATGACAAACTTGAGGAAAGTGTCATAGTTTGCAAATGGGGGGCGCCGCCCCATAATGAGGGAAATGTGACTACCTAATGGCAGCCCTGATGGGGTAATATTGACTGGCTTGGAAATTAAGTTAAAATTACCATATATAAGACTCTGTAGAGTCTGAAACATAAAGAAAAAACATAAATAGGCTGTCAAACATAAAATATGTTATATATGGTAATTTTATATTAACTTCCAAGCCGGTCTATGTTACCCCGTCAGGGCTGACATTAGGTGGTCTAAGTTACCCCATTTGGGGGCGGCGCCCCCCATTTGCAAACTATGACACTTTCCTAAAATTTGTCATTTGCATATGTAACTAGAAGAGTTCTACTACAATGCATCAAAACCTGGAGTTATTTAACCAAAAAATAAAAAAATTGGAGGGGGTACTCTGACAGGCTTTAAATAATAGCTTTTTTTCGTGGGTCACATTTTTAATTTTTTAACCTATTAGATATGCAAACTTTTCAAATCTTTCTATTGTGTTATGTAGCCTCAGTATTAGGCCTTTAATGCCCATTGACAAAATTTTTCTATGTCAAATAGTTTTTGAGTTGTGGGGGTTTTTGTTAAAAAAACGAAAAGTGGTCTAAGTTACCCCGCCTGTCTAAGTTACCCCATTTTACGGTACCTACTATTAAGCTTTTAATTAAAAAAATTTTAACTTTTGCATACAGCTTGGAACAAGCTGTGTGTGTCTAATTCCAAGCTGTGTCAGAATTAGTTTTTATGTGTCTAAAACCGTCTCTTAACTTAATCATCTATTAATTTTTTTACCACTTGAAATCCAGACTGTAAAGCATGGCACAACATCGGTTGAGGACGCCGATTTCATACACCAAAGACGCTGAGGTGGATGCCACTGGACACCACTGGACACCGGTCACCAATTATGCTTCTAAATAAATCAAGATTTACGATTGATATGGCCGATGCGCTGTATTGATCTACACGCTATGATCGTAACTACGTGTTGTAGTGCGTAGTTCCGAACTTCCGATGGCTGTGAGAGCTACATTTGAGCACCCAAGCATACGCACTCACAGCCACCTGAACTATGCGCTGTAGCGTGCAGTTCCAATGGCTGTGAGAGCTACATTTGAGCACCTAAGCATACACGCTCAGCCATCTGAACTATGCGCTGTAGTGCGCAGTTCCGATGGCTGTGAGAGCTACATTTAAGCACCCAAGCATACGCCCCAACAGCCACATGAACTATGCGCTGTAGCGTGCAATTCCTGGCTGTGAGAGTTACATTTGAGCACCTAAGCATACACGCTCATAGCCACCTGAACTACAGGCTGTAGCGCGCAGTTCTGATTGCTGTGAGTGTATATATGAGCATCCAAGCATTCGTATTTCATGCTCAGAGCTACCGGAACTACGCGATGTAGCGCGCAGTTCTGATGGCTGTGAGAGTGTATATATGAGCATCCAAGCATATGTGCTCAGAGCCACCAGAACTACTCTACTCAATGTAGCGCTCAGTTCCGATGGTTCCAAATGCATGTATTTGAGTCCTTGCAGTAAGAGAGCCTCACAGCAATGACAATGGATAACAAAGCAGCTTGTGATAAATCATTTTAAATAAACACTACATCATTAGTCGTGTCACCTGAAACAAGCCAACCCTATTCATCCCAACCAAATTCAAACAACCTTTATCTAACTGAACCCAACCAAATGCAACCAAACCCAACCCAACCCAATGCAACCCAATCCAATTCAGCCAAACCCAACCCAATGCAATCGTAACCAATTCAACCCAAACCATTGTAACCCAAGCTAATTCAACCCAATCCTAACCAATTCAACTCAAGCCATTACAACCCAAGCCAATTCAACCCAACCTAATTGATCCCAATTCAAATCGACCCAATCCTTTCCAATGCAATCCAACCCAATTCATCCTAACCAAATTTAACCCAACCCAATCTAACCAAACCCAAACCCATTCAACCAAAACCAATTCAATTCAACCCAATTGATCTCAATTAAAATCAACCCAATCCTTCCCAAGGCAAATCAACCCAATTCATCCCAACCATACCGTATATAACCCAACCCAATCTAACCAAACCCAACCCAATTTAACTAAAACCAATTCAACCCAATCCAATTCAACCCAACCCAATTCAACCCAACCCAATTCAACCCAATCCAATTCAACCCAACCCAATTCAACCAAAACCAATTCAACCAAAACCAATTCAACCCAACCCAACTCAATTCAACCAAAATTCAATTAAACTCAACCTAATTAAACCATATTCAACCAAAACCAATTTAACTTGATTCAACCCAATTCAACCACAGCCAACTCAATTAAACCCAACCAAATTCAACCCTAATCAAATCATTCCAGCCCAATTCAAGCCAACCTAATTCAGTAACTTTTAAATAGACTGAATCAGAATGTGTAAGAATGCATTGTGATTTTATTTGATTGCACTAGATTTCATTGTACTAGATTTCATTGTACTAGATTTCATTGCAATGCATTAGAATGCACTAGAATGCATTGAATTGAATTAGGGTATGTTAGATTTCATTAGGTTACATTAGATTGCATTACGTTACTTAAGATTGCATTAGAATACTTTTGATTGCAATAGAAAGTGTCAGTTTGAATTTGAATGCATTAGATTGTATTAGGTTATATTAGATTGCATTAGGTTACTTTAGATTGCCTTAGGCTACCATCAAACGGGGTAAAAAGGGACGGGCGGGGTAAATAGGGACGTGCATCCCACATTTCGTAGAAATGTTGTAGCAGCTAAACTAATCAAAATATTGCTAAACCAAAAATAGTGGCAAAAACTTCAACATTTTTACTATCTATTATGTATAAAGCTAGTCAAGAAATCAAACATTTACTATCTCTAAAAATCGCTGAAAAAAGTGTGAAAAGTGCAATTTTGGAAAAGTACTTCTGCTAAGGTCTGAAGCAAAAATAATATTTGCTGTATTAAAAAATTTTACTTACATAAAAGTTGCACCCAGGTGTTGGCTTGAAAATGTAATTGACAGAATTTGCCTATCTCATTCAAAAAAAAAAAAAATGGCAGCCCCTTTAGGGGACACCCTTAAATTAGGGACACCCTTAAAAATGCATTAGAACCTCAGCAAAAAAATTGATAAACAACAAAGAATTTTGATTACATTTACCTCGCTCAGCGAAAAAATTCACTTGGTGAATTTTTTTCAAAAATTCAAATTAGTGCATCTCGGTCGTCACAAAAATTGTACATAGAATGCTATATATAGAATTGTGCACCAGGCACCATAGAATGAAATGTAT